CGTTCTTGACGTTTTCTTTTCTTTTTTTTTTTTAATTTTTGGTGAAGAGGGGAGGTAATTAGATTAATTAATTAATTAATTTTAATGGAGGTACTGGGGATTGAACCCAGGATCTCGTGCATGCTAAGTATGCGCTCTACCACTGAGCTATACCTTTCCCCCTGGAACAGCATTCTAGATGGAAACAGAAACTGGTATAATTACTATGGGAAACAGTTTGGCAATTTCTTGTAAATTTCTTATACACTTACCCCAAGACCCAGCAATTCCACTTTCAGCTGTTTATCAGGAAAGATGAAGTGTCCACTGAAAGACAAAAATGCTCATGGCAGCCTTATTTATAATAGCTCCAACTTGGAAGCAGGACAGATGTCTAATGTATTTGTCAGGGGTCAATCAAAACAAAGAAACCACACAGTAATTAGAACAAAGAAACCTTAAGGTTAAAAATTATTAATGCTACCAGTGTAGAGAGAAATGTACAGAATATTCTAAAGCTGAGGGAGTGTCCGAGGAAGGAACAAATTTGAAGGGAGACCTTTCCATCAAGCCAGGACTCAAACCTTGTTGAAGAGCGTGTAATTTGATGTGAGGTGTGCTGGGAGCCCAGGCCAGGCCTGGTCCACAGACTTCAGGTCAGCAGGAAGCATCCCTCTGGGGTACTGGCAGCAGAGGCTGGCAGGGAGTGCCCTGGGCGAGTCCTAGGACTTCAGGCTGAGCCGTGAAGGCCTAGGACACATGTGCCCATGTCTGGAGGGCCACTGGAAACACCCTTCCAGGGAGCTGGTGGGTGGAGGCTGGCAGGTAGGTGCACAAGGGAGTCAGAGGGTGGTGCCCAAGGGGCACAGAGCCTACAATGGGAGGGATCTAGCAAGGTGGGAGCAGGGCTAGGCCTGAGGCTGTGAACTCACAGGCATCACATGCCCTGGACACACAGTTGGGACAGAATATTAATGGATATCCCCATGCAAGTGCCTCTGGCAGCAGGACAATTGAAGGAAGAGAAGCAAACGTAAGAACCCTGGACCCAGGAAATGTTTCTTCCTCCTGCCATGTCCCTCCAGCACCACCTACTGACATAGCTCTATATTGTTGTCACTACAAAGGAGAAACGTATAAAGGGGCTATCCAACTATCGCAGAGCAGGTAATGAAGGGTAGATTTGGAGTTGAGAGGCAATAAACTGATAATTGTTATATCCAGCAATAGGTGCAATGGGAAAGCAATTTGTGGCAGATTAATGTAATGCTCATCAGCACTAAATAGAATGAACTACCGATAAATGGACAGCACAGATGGATGGCAAAAACAGCACACTGAATGAAAGAAAGCAGACGCAAAAGAGTAAAGACTGTTATGTGACAGCTCATACAACTCAGTAACAAAAAAAAAACCCAGTCAAAAAATGGGCAGAAGACCTAAACAGACATTTCTCCAATGAAGACATACAGATGGCTAACAGACATATGAACAGATGCTCAATATCGCTAATTATCAGAGAAATGCAAACCAAAACTACAATGAGGTATCACCTCACATCGGTCAGAATAGCCATCATTAAAAAGTCCACAAATGATAAATGCTGGAAAGGATGTGGAGAAAAGGGAACCCTCCTACACTGTTGGTGGGAATGTAGTTTGGTGCAGTGATTATAGAACACAATATGGAGAGTCTTTAAAAAATTAAAAATAGAATTACCATATGATTCAGCAATCCCACTCCTGTGCATATATCTGGAGAAAACTCTAATTCGAAATGATACGTGCACCTCAGTGTTCATAGCAGCACTATTCACAATAGCCAAGACATGGAAATAACCTAAATGTCCATTGACAGATGACTGGATAAAGAAGTTGTGGATATACACTTACACACAAACACACACACACACACACACACACAATGCAATACTACTTGGCCATAAAAATGATAAAGCAATGTTATTTGCAGCAACATGGATGGACCTGGAGATGGTCATACTAAGTGAAGTAAGTCAGATAAAGGCAAATATCACAAGATAACACTTATATGTGGAATCTACAAAAATGAAACAAATGAACTTATTTATGAAACAGTAACAGACTCACAGACATAGAAAACAAACTTATGGTTACCAAAGGCGAAAGGCAGCAGGGAGAGATAAATTAGGAGTTTGGGATTAGCAGATACAAACTGCTATATACAAAATAGATAAACAACAAGGTCCTACTGTAGAGCACAGGGAATTATATTCAATATCTTGTAGTAACCTATAATGAAAAAGAGTATGTATGTATAACTGAATCACTATGTTGTATACTAGAAACTAACACAACATTGTAAATCAACTATGCTTCAATTTAAAAAAGACTGTTATATGAAATTCTAGACCACATGAAAGTCATCTATAGGGAAAAAATGTCAATCAGTGTTGCCTGAGGATTTGGGATGTGTGGTATTGACTGCAAAGGATCACAGAGGAATTTGGGGATATGATAGAAATATTCTTTATCTGGATTGTGGCAGTGGTTACATAGCTGTGTGTATTTACTAAAATGCATCAAACTGTACCCTTAAAATGGATACATTTAATTTTATGTAAATTGTGTCTCAGCAATGTCTATCTTAATATCACCTGTAAATCGGATACTTACAGCTGTGTAGGATCTAGACTACCACTGCCTTCCAAACCCTGCTGCTCTGTAAGTTCCACTTGAGATAAATCACAGCTTTGATCTGAACACTGGAAACCTCCCCCTTCCTGCAGGAGCTGGATTCTCATAGAGGGAAAGTCTCGGCGGTCATAGAGGATTATTCTGGATTATTCCTGGGAAGTAGATGAGATGATACGCCTGGAAGGGAGCTGCCCAGGAAACTCCAGTCATGTTCTCCCTGAGGGCAGGCCCCTGCATTCTTCTGTAGCTCAGCCATCACCGGTCCTGTATCTTTCATGGCTTGGCCAGAGCCCAGGTGGTGTGCGGGAACAATTACAGAGGGAGACAGCCTTCAAGACTGGACAACTAACCAGGCAGGAATGAGCGACTCAGGGGGAGCAAACTGCCTAAGGAAAAGGAACTTACTAAAGATCCCAGCAGCTTCTGAAAGCATGAAGCACTGTGGATTGACATATATCAGTAACAACTGTGATTGGTAATAATATTAATCATGAGAACAAACTGCAAAGAAGTTGCAGAAGTCTGGCAAGCAGCTCCTTTATAAATAAAGCCTAACAATGGGTATTGACCCAGTAGCTAAAACTTGCCCGTGCTGGGGTCGAGGAGAAATCCTATAGTTTTTGATTCGTATGTGTGTGTACTTGCCTCAAAACCCCACAGATGGATAGAGAACGTTTACTGAGATCTAGACAAAGCTGTCAAATACAGTCTGGTTAGAAAAGTCTTCGCCTGAGCAGAACCAAAAGTTATCTTGCAGGTTTGAGAAATTATTTCACTTCCTAGGTCTCAGGCACATCAA